CCTCGCCTCCCCCTCGCAGCACGGCTGCCCTCCGGCACAGGCCTCACTCCGACGGCCCAAGGCGCTCCTTCAGGCGCAGCTCGCCCCCGTGCCCGGTGCGGGGACAGCCTGCTTTCACCTTGAGGCAGCACGGGGAAAGAGGGCAGCGCAGAAAGTCGACAAAAACCTTAAAAATTGCTTGAGGCAGGGGGTAGTCACAATTTGTGTGTGCGCTTGAGCTCCTGCTTAGCTCACGGACACAAACTGCTCCAAGAAAGGCAGGGTTAACTTCACGGAGAATGTTTATTGTGAGCAGATACAACGGGGGAGCAGCCCGGAACAAACTCTCACCTCACGATCCAGGCTGTTTGCTCTCCTGCTCCGTCACACAACCGAGCCTCGGCTCGCTTCGCTTGCAGAAGAGGGATGCATGTGGGTGTACAGGACAAGGAGCACAGCGCTAGCTGCGTAAGCTAAGAAAATTGGTATAAAACCTACTGCAGACTCAACAAGGGTTTAAATGATTTCTTGAAAAAAAAGTTTATTCATCAGATACAGATGCAACAAGAGTGCACCTGTGCAGTGAATAAATTGACTGTATTTGGTATTGTAAAAAGATAAAGCCAACTAATGTTTTTTTTAACAAAAGCTCCTTCAGGCACCTTCTAAAAAAACATTTCTTAACACAGAGTCAGGTATTTTTCCACCTAAGTTTTGGGTGTGTGTTAAGAAGGTTTCCTTGCTTTGTATCTCACGAAGCTGCATAGGTGTTTCCAAGGCTGCTGTGCTTTAAGAATTTTTCTGTGGAATTTTGATTGTCACCTAGAAAAAGAAGAAAAATCATAAGTTACTTGCCTGGAGACAGTGTTCAGTTGGATTCACTTGAGGGCCAAGAGGCAGCAGCATCCTGCAGAAGAGAGCCAGAACCCGAGGACAGTATAGCCCAGTCAGTGCTCAGTGACTGGGATCGCCTTGGGCTGGAGACCTGTCTGGAAGGCTCGAAGAGAGGGGGAAGCTCAAAGGCTGGGTCACAGCATCTGTCCAGAGGTGCCACTGCTCTTTGAGTGCTGGGAGCGGGCACATTTGTTCTCACCTGGAGCTCCTGGACCAAGTCAGCCTCCTGCCAGTTGCAAGCTGGAGGCCCTCAACCATCACGCGCTTCGCTGTGTTGTAACTCCAGGGCCACGGGCTACCCACCTCTGCCCAAGAGCTCCATCACCCTTTAGACACCGCAGCTGCAAGCAGACAGTGTGACAGCCCTCCTGCCTCGCCTTACAGGAAATTACCCAGCCTGCGCTGACGCGATTGCTCAACACCCGGAACCTTGGTCTCGCACGTGGACCCAAGGGCATCTCGACTCATTAAGTACCGGTAGGTGCTGCTCAGATTCCCCCTCTTGAGTGGTGAGTGCCCAGCATTCCTCTGTCTGTTCGTACCTGCAGAAGCTTCCACCCATCAGGCACGTGCCCCCAGCACATGCTCGTCCTCTCCTCCACAAAATAAACTCACAGAGAACTCCGTACGCTTGCATTCCTCACAGCGAGAAACAGCCAAACGGTGCCAAGTGGTGCAGGCACCTGCTCATCTATCAGGTCACGTACCCTTATTTTCCTCAGCAGCATAAAGCACGGCTACCTTTCTGTTCTAAGCACCGTTACGTGGAGCTGTGTTTGTGGTTACTTCAAAAGTACAGCTCCAAATTCGTTTCAAGCATTAGAAGGAAGAATTGCTGCTCTCGGGCCGTCCTGCACCAACAGGCACAAATACAATCTGGAGCTAGGGCAGAGGGTTGGGAAACCCTTGGATACAGGGATACTCACGTTTTTCACCTCCACGTACGCCTCCAGACCATACTCTCCCAGCTCTCGCCCATTCCCAGATGCTTTGTAGCCACCAAATGGGGCTTGTGCACCAAACACATCGTAACAGTTTATCCTGAAACAGAAACCAAGAGTTAAGCACCTGTAGTTTCAGAACTGCTTAACGGAAGAGCCCTTCCGCGGCAAACGGGCATCTCGGGTGTTTACAACGGAGGGAGGGCTGGATTTCCAGGCAGGATTTCTGTATCCGTCAGTTCTCTCAGCCAACAGAATCAATCAATACTGAAACCTTAGCCTCATCCACTGGGAAACAGAACATTATGAAATCGATTCACGTCTCTCATTATCACAGAACCGTGCCCAAGTTGCCACCGCCACCTCCTTCAGAGGACAGACACCAAAAGCACCTACTGGTTCGCTCCGCAGCATTGAAAAAAAAAGACAGTGAGATACTGGATCTCCATCATCTCGTGCTAGAACAGTAAGCTGGTGCTGAAGTACTGGCTGTGGCACAGTGTTCAGCACAGCCCCGGAACGCAGAGGAACACCCACTGCAGCAGCCAAGGGCGCACAGACGTGCTCGGTGATCTAATCACCGCTGGCACGCAGAGCCCTGCAGCAGCCGCTGGCACTGCCAGCTGCGGCGCTGGGCTTTGTTTTCCCCCATCCCATTCATTAATCCACAGTGGGAGCGTGGCAGCGTAATACACCTCAATTTTACTGACAGTTAGCACTACAGCTGAAGGTCTGACATTACATTCAGTGAAGTGCACATAAAATTGGATCCAAAGCAGAGCCAGGCTATCAGAGAGAAAACTTGATGAGAAATGGCAGCACACAAGGAAGCTTGCAGCAGTTCAGGGAGAAGGAAGTGTCGAGGCTCACCAAACTGTTCCAGCTCGCAGGGCCTGTGACACGTAGTTTGCTTTGTCAAGATCCTTTGTGAAGACTGCTGCTGCTAGACCGTACTTGGAGTCATTTGCTCTCTCAATGACTTCCTCAATGGTTTTGAATTTCAGAATCTGCATGACTGGCCCAAATATCTGCAAAATCCAAACAGAGCATGTGAAAATCTCTGCAAATCGATCACGGGGGAGGCTGTGGTTGATGCTGGAGTTATGTATGTGTGGTAGAACTCACACAGGACATCAAAGTATCACTTCCCGTATTACAAAGTGCCCAGGATGTAAGCTGGAGAGAAGTTTAGGAATGCCCAGTTCTTGTAAACCCATGGGTTTTTTTGCATCAGAGGGGGCAAAATGAGGAAGAAGAGAGAAGCTGAGACACAGAAAGGTGCTGCGGGTCTCACCTCCTCTCTGGCGATCGTCATGTTGTCCTGCACATCGCCGAAGACGGTTGGCTGGATGAAGTAGCCCCTGTCCGCAGCGGGGTTGCCACCACACAGCAGTTTGGCTCCTTCACGCTTCCCGGTACTAATGTAACCGAGGATCTTCTTAAACTGCTCTTCATCCACCTAAGAGCCGTGGGGACAGACAGATCAGCCTCACCTCTACTGGGGGTAAAAAGGGTTTCAGCTACAACCTGCTGTGCGTGCGACTGTGCTCTAGCAATCCCTCATTTCAACAGGCTGCCAAGCCGGCTTCGAGGGCAGATGAGCATTTTCCAACGCCAGCATCACGTGGAGGTTTTGGAATAATCTGAACAGTTAATTACCTTCTCCCTCCCGCACAAGCAAGGAGAGAATGGGCACAGTTCAAAGGAGACAAATCAAGAGACCAAAGGATACCTTTCATTCTAATCTACTGACGCACAACGACTCCAGATTGGGACTGTTTCATGAGATAACAGTTCAGGACATTTCCTGCTCTTACCTGAGGCCCCTGTTCAGTCTTAAAGTCAAACGGGTTTCCAACCACCCTGGCCTTGGCCTTCTCAACACTCCTCTCCACAAACTCATGATATATATCTTCCTGGACATAGGTTCGGGATCCAGCACAGCAGCACTGCCCTTGGTTGAAGAACAGGGCAAAATGGGCTTGATCCACAGCCCAGTCCACTAAGATTGGGAAAAGGAGAGAAAGCAAATGAGCAAACGGAACCAACCAGAGTCAGCAGGTGACTTCTTCTGAACAACTAGCATGGAGACTGCTGGAGTATCGGTGATGTGAAGTCCTTTCAGTTGACGGGCATTTTCCATGCTTTGGTAGGGGCAGAAGTTAGGTACAGATTTAATTAGCATGAGGTCTCTTAGAGCACCCCATACTAGAGAAAAAAAAAAATCTAATCTGAGGCAGATTACAGTTCTCATTTGAAATTATCAAGTATTAAGGACAAGTTACTTTGGATCTAAAAGAACTTCCTTCCTTACTGCCACATAGAAGCATGTGTGTCGGCTCATCCAGACCAAAAATGAGTCTATACGCAAGAGATGAGGGAACCAGAGTTTCATAAGACTAGAAAAGAGCGGCATGCACTAAAACAGAAAATGAAAACAAAAATGGGACTAACAGGACTGAAGCAAGGTACTGAAAAAATTCTCGTTTGTTGGTAACTGAACTTCACAGCACTGGGAGCGAAGTGGGAGTGAAGAAGTGCTGATGC